TATTGATGAAGTGTCTCGTTAAAGACCTTATCTGGAAAACCTATTTTCACGTTCTAAAAAGAAGACAAAATCTGAGTGAGGAAAGAGTGCACTAAATTTACTAAGTACAATTTCTAGCCCGATTGGGAGTGTTCGTGCGCTTCGGTATTGTCAATATCTCTATTGCTAAAGCATGCTAGAGTACCTTGGACCGGCTGGTGTTTAACATTATGTAACTTACAAACCTAGGTCTCCTAGGGAGACGTTCAGTTCTGATCTTTTGGTCCTTGTTTCCGTGTTTGTTTCTTGCGTGTTTGTTCCCTTCAGATTCTCTTCAACTGAGCGCTTGCTTCATTTGGGCCTGGTTGTGGAACTCGGCCAATTCTTTCATTTGCATGTACTTGGTTGCTCGACAACGTAGTTCATCCAGGTCGACAGGGTTTTTTTTGCAGATACTGTTGACAAACGGCCCTGGCCTAAGGGCTGTTGTGAGATGGTGCATCGCAACTGCCGGATCCAAGTTACGGATAGAGAGAGCCATTTGCCCGAAACGTTCCATAAACGACGTGAGTGTTTGCTTCTTCTCCTGGCGAATATTAACCAAAGCCAACGAGGTCAATTGATGAGAATGACTAATGACAAACTGTAAATTGAATCGTCTGGTGAGGGTTACAAACGAATCAATGGACGAAGGGAGTAGCTTGGTGAACCAACTGAGGGCCAATCCTCAGAGTGAAGTAGGAAATATCATGCACCATAAGGCATCAGTTTCTGTATACAGACTGACCTAAGTTGTGAAGATATCCAGATGTTCTCTAGGGTCTGATGTTCCATCGTTAGACCTCTCCAGTTGTCAAGCAGCCTAGCTTCCATGATATGCTGGACAAACGGGCTTCGACTTACTACATCATCCCGATCAGTATAGGTTTCCGATTGCTGGACCATTCTTGGTTTTTCCTGTAACGTCGAGGACTCTCCCTGTTCTTGGGCGAAGGGTGTAGTTTGAGAGGGTATGTGTGTTCTTATTTCTTCCCTTAAGTTGGCATTTTTCCTTCTCAAATTCGAAAGCTCAAGAGCATCTTTCTCCCTCTCTTTCTTCATTTCCTTCATTTCTGCTCTAAGTTGCCTCAATACTGCAAATAGGCTTTCATCACCCCCCTCATCTACCAACACCTCAGGGATCGGCTAGTTGGGTGTGGTATCTTCGTGTTGGCGAGAAGTTCCTCCTTGCTGAGTCTATCCATCTTGTTGGCTTCTTGTTAGTACCATGATAATTGAAAAAGCGAGGCAATTCGCAATTGAGCCCCATGGTAGGCGCCAAAATGTCCCTGTTCGGGAAACACTAATCTTCTAACCTTTGCCTGGGTAGGATGACATCCTTTTGTATGTAGCTGACGTGGAGAGGGTATCTGCAAAAGGCACTCTGATACTGAAGTCAGATCTCGGTTCTGAACAGTAAATACTATTTTAATAATTAAAAGTCAACCTCTTACCTGTACCTCTTACCTTCCTTTTATAAGAAGTATTATGGGCTAATGACCTTGCTAAGTCAGCCTTGATTTTGTCCCTTTGATAGTAGATAATAATTTGATTATTACCCTTAATTGGGTAAATTACCTTATACGACTGAGGGGGTACTCAATTCCTTTTTTCTGTAGGTAAGATCAGATAGTGTCTTATCTGGTACATTTCGTAACAACAAAAAAATAGAACAAGATTAGTAGGTAAAAAATTAAAATACAATTCTAAATTAAAAGTTAAAATGCAAGTCACACTTAGATTAAAGTTAATTAAATTTGAAGTAAACATTTATATAAGAAAAAATTTATATTGATAGTCATCATCAAATTAAAGTTTAAAAAATAATTAAGCTTGCAATTAAAAAAAATCATAAATTTAAATTGTCAAACCTTTTACACTATGCCGTACACATACTTAAATTCTAATAAACGTAGTTGTGCTTTTGATGGTTTAGCATAAGTTAAGTCAAACTCATTTGCCTTTCTTGTAGGTTGTTATCACTGCTCAATTGTATCACAAAATAACAAAAATGAGATGCGTGGGTTGTTCTCTCCCAAAGACAAGTTAGCTACGAAAGCTCTTTATATCATCTCTTAATTTCTTAGTCAAACAAAACTCATGTTAATTCTAATGTTCTATTCATTCTAGAACTCTTAAATATCATACCCACCAACAAACACAATGGATATAATTGATTGCGCAATTCCTTTTATTAATTCCTGCTGAGGAATGCATTTTACATTTTAAAGAGGGCCAGTAAATTTCGGAGTTGCTGAGAGATATTTGTGAACACATTGCTATTGTTGCATTTAATTTGATACAAAAGCATCCTCAAAAGAAGGTCATGATAGAATCAAGGGGTTTTCAGATCAATCAATTTTTCAGCTCTTTGAAAGTTGTTATTCACTCTAAGTGTAGCACAAAAGGTGAATTTCTTCTCCTCTCTCTATTCATGCATGTCTCCTAATTAATATGTTCATGCTGTGTAAGATTTGTTTTTATTTGCACACACAGAAAAAAGAAGAAGAAGAAAATCAACCGCTCAGGTATGGTTATAATTGTACATAAAAAGTTTGACATCAAGTTATTAATTTATTAATATTGTTTTTTTTAGCATTCTGTAATATTATAGAGAATAAAAAATTATATACACTGTTCTGTTTCTAAATTTAGTCTTTTACAAGTTGTGGCACAGTAACTAAGAAAACATTTAATAATCTTATTTTATTAAAAATATTATAAATTTTTTACTATACTTATTTTAAAATTTATTTATGTAATAAATGAAAAGGTAAAAGATATAAAATGAGCTCTGAGATACTTACTTCATCTCTGAAAATTATCTTATTTTCATTAAATGTATTACAAAATTTTCTATAATAACCATTTTAAATTTTATTTATACAATAAATTAGATAAATTTTAAAATGAATTTTAATATAATAATTATCTTAAAGGCAAAGTTAAAAAAATCTATTTTAAAATTATAAAATAAATATCATTTAAAAAAAATAAAATTAGCTAAAAAGATAAAGAGAATAGTAATATTTATTAAAAAAATTAAAGAATTTAATGCCATTAAATATATTTATAATATTAAATAATACATTTTAATTTTAACATATAAAATTTATTATTTTATGCAAGTTACAGATTTCCTTATTCCAATTTGCTTCTTCGGCTGGCAGCTTTCATCCGTTTCCTTATTTTGTGCATACTAGATAAGAAGTTTTACAAAGGCATACAATGGTTAATTAATTCCATCTTTTTTAACTTTGCCATGTGAAAAAAAAATCAAAAGAAAGAAAATATTTTTATACTGAATATTTATTTATTAAATAGTTGTCATGTCAAATCTTGTGTTTAAATAAGTAGAACAATATCAAGCGCAGAAACTTCAGGACTAGCATTTGATAGGTTGCTAATTAGAATCTCCACTCATTTCTTTGGAATGAAGTAAACGTAAATATTACGTAAGCGTCCTTTGAATATAATGTTAATTAGTTCAGTTTTATTTTAAATAATGCTTTAGAATTTCATTACCTGAATATTTCTAATAATTAAAATATTTCCATAACTTTATTCTGATTATGTTTATTTAAAAAAAATTGAAAACTATAACAATTTGCAAACTCACTAGTGAGGACCACAGGATGTCTTAAACATTCCTGCAAATGAACATAGTGTAAAAAATGGTTAAAAAACCAATATAAGTAATGCTTAGACAACGCTATTTTTTTTTTACCTACCCGTGTTCCAGTACAAAATCCTCTATAGGAAGTTCCTAGGCATATATAGTTTTGCACATCAAATAGACTATGGTTTGTAAATTTCAATTTCATTTTCAAAGTACAATATGCACACGACATCCTTAATTGGAGAGACCACATGTTTCCATGATTAAAAAAAAAAAAACATAAAAGAGATAACAATAATAAGGAAAAAATAAAATCGAAACTTAGCATATCTCATGGCAGAAGCTCAAGGAGTAAACTATCATATGCAAATGTTTAACAAGAAAATTTCTTATCATCATGTTATTAGACAAAACAGCAGCAGAACTACCTATAAAACTAAAGAGTATTAAAGTAGTATAATCCGATCAGTCTTACATTTATTACTTTCAAGATGTTTTTCCTTTATTATCATTTAATATATCATACAATTTATTACCTTTTGATGTGTTTCAATAAAACTATTTCTTTTTAGTATAACCATTAATATACGTAACACGGTGTTCTCCTTGATTACTTAAATAAAAAAAGAGTAACCCAAAAGCCAAAAATTAAAGGGATAAAGTTGAGCAATGAAAGTTCAAGTGACTGGGTAGGGTAACTCTTTTTTAGTCTTAACTCCTGCTTGATATTATTACTTTTGGCCAGATAATCCAATATTGGCTCCAGATGCCAAATACTAGCAACACTTGTTTTCCTAATCCTTCTTAACTTTCTATGGTTTATTCAGACTTGAACTTTCTCACAAGAAATTAATGCAAATAATGACACTTCCTTAAATAGAAGACATTAATTCCTAGCATGAAAACGGCATCAACAATCAACTATCTCACAAAATGTTCCAACCCAAGTATAAGAATAATGCACATTAATTATTTCTATTGTTATAATATCTGGAATGGCATACAGCACATAATGTAATGGTTACAACCATAGAAGAAACCACTGACAGGCTGATACAGCGTTTCCTTACATAATGGCTTAGCTCTACTGAGTGGCATCTGTCACCGTGCATATTCATTTCCCTTCAGAATTTTCCAATTCCCATATATAATTTATTTTTCTGAAAACGATTTTCGAATTTCAGTGGGGTTATGTGCATCATTAAGTTCAATTATCTGCCCCTAAAACCGTTTCATTTTTCTATATAATAGTGTTAAGACACATTTGTTTCTCTTAGGAGAAGAGACAAATAAGCACAGCAAGTCAGCAACTTATTTTGCTAACTTGTTTGCTTTTCTTTACAAGAGTGACACACAGAGAGCAATGGAGACAAAGAAGAGGAAGGGAACTTTGAAGGAATGGTTCGCATCATCCCAGGCTCTGTTGAGCATGTTACTAGTGCAAATTTTTATGACGGGGTTGCAGCTGTTAGCAAGGGCCGCATTGGTTCAGGGAAGTTTCATACTTGCACTGGTTTCTTATCGTCACATTGTTGCTGCCATTTGTGTTGCCCCATTTGCATTCTACTTTGAAAGGTATACAAAGATTTTTTTATTTTTATTTTTATTTTTATTTTTGTGTCAGGTATAATATAATTTAGAAAGAATCTTATTTGATTCGTAGGACCACTCGTCACTCATGAACAGATGACAAATCAATGGAGTTTATCAAACTCAAACCCCACTTTAACCCCCTAAATCCATCTCGCTTTCATTTTTCTCGGGTTAAAAAAAACCCAACTTTACCCGTTGGGTTTTGGGTTTCCTTGACTTATCGGTTCTTGATTTTCTTATATTAATTAATATAACAAATAAATAAATAATATATTTTAAATGATTTTTTCTATTTACATGTATTTTAATATAAAATAGACACTCAAATTAAAAACACATATATCCAGGAGACGGGGCCGATTTTCAAATGCGGGGCAAGTATCCAGACCCGAACTGAGCATAAATCTGAATTTTCTCCGTCAAACTCGTGTCTGAATCGGGTGGATTTCCATGGATTCTAGTCCCATAGTAAAGTTTTAGTTTGAGTTTTTTTTTTTAATTATAAATTTTTTTATTTTTTTATTTTAGAAAATGATTTGTATAAAAATGATGAAGTAATAAAAGGAAAAAGAATAAAAAGTTATTTTTTAATTAAAAGGAAATTTGAAATTTAATTACTTTCTTTAAGAAATTATATAAAAAATAATAAATAAAATCATTTTATTAATCTTAATTACTTTAATTAATTGATTAAATTTAATTTAATTTAATTTAATTAATGATTTGTGTAAGAAAACATAAATAAAAATATGCATATATTTAATATTTTCATTTAATAAATAATATAATATTAAATGATATTAGAAGAGGATTTTGAATATTTATTTGGGTTGTGGATGCAGAGGTCGCACAAAGAAGTTCACTTTCGAAGTTTGGTTTTTGCTCTTCATTAACGCGATGCTCGGGTAAGTATTCTTTAGTTTCTCTATAAAATTGGTTATTTGAACTCTCTTGTAAAAATTAAAAATGCAAGCATTCATTGATAAATGAAAGAGGTGCCTTTAATATTAAGAAAATGTTAATTGGTGTTTTAAGAAAATTTGTAAAAAAATGATTGCTTTTTTCTTTAATAAATATAACATTTAATGTTACTAAATGCTTCAAATATAATTTTAATAAAATATTTTTACTTATTCATGCTTTAACTCCCCATAAAACTCTCATTGAATGGACTGATGTTTTTTAAATACTATCTTGAAAATGAACCTCTTGAGATGTGAATAATGTTTGGCTTGGCTATGGATGCTGCAATGTATTGAAACTAAAATAAATCTCCATTATCTTCCCTTTAGGACCCACTTTCATAAAACGGTAATTTGTTCATGCGTGAAAGAAAATCTCATTAAGATAGGCATTGGAAATATTTAAGTTTTTAATATGCAGCTTAAATGGGACAAAAATTTATGATTTTACTAACGTCACTTTTCAAACTTTAATTAATCATTTAAAAGTGATATATTTTTATTATAAATAATATTTAATATAATTAATATTTTAAATATTTAAACATTATTCTAAAAATTGACTGAAATTTTAATGGGTTTCTGCAAGAAAAAGCTCTGTCAAAATTTAATTACAGTAGTAATTATCACATTCAACGGTAGTTAAGTGGTCTCCACTTGTAAAATTTAATTCTAGGGTCAAAGGAAAATGTTTTAGAGGAAGTTTTCAGTGCTTACCTGCAACCAATTGTTTTCTCTTTCTGGCATGTAGTGTTGTTGTTGTTGGTTTGGTTTTAATCAATGAGCCAAAAACAAGAGAGGGGTTCATTCTTCCGCATTTACTGTTGAAGTTCTGATGTGTCAGCTCTATCCTTTACTTTCACCATTACTTTCACCATTAATGGAGCATTTAGTTTACTTGTGTGGGCTTCAATGTGCCATTAATTTTTGAAATTTAATGGTAATTACTTATTAGCACCGTTTATAAATAAAAGTAAAGAAGTGTGAGAAAGTGGGGCTCTCCTGCATCTTAACTTCATAAGTTATATAATAAGTACTTTATCTTCGTTTTACATTCAATAATCAAATTGAATTTTGTATATACTTAATATCTATTGTGAATTACATGGAATTATGATTGCAATATATTGTAGGTTAGTTTGCCTAAGTTTCCCACTGAGATAAATAATCTTATCTTAAGTAGATTAATGAAGTTAAGATACAGAATTAAAAATTATATTGACTTTTTATTTAAGTTTTTATAGATAAAATATATTAGTTAATCTAAGATGGAATTGTTTACACTATTGGAAAACTTAAACAAATCCAATTTAGGCAAATACTTTCAAGTTCTACTAATTGGATATTTATAATAATTAATGGTTTGTCCAATTGGTTTTCTAAGAATGTGATGGTACCAAATACAGGATGACTATGGCTCAAGGATTCTTCTATTATGGTTTGCGAGACACCTCAGCTACTTACTCTGTCAACTTCCTGAACTTGATTCCTATATGCACCTTCTTTGTCTCTGTCATATGCAGGTAATTAGAATTTAAAAATTCACTTCTATATAAATAAAAATGTAGCATAATCAGCATTAGTTGATGAAATAACAAATGTAGAATGGAGAAACTGAGGCTGCAAACTTGGGCTGGTAAAGCTAAGAGTATTGGAGCAATTATGTGTGTTGGGGGAGCATTAACTAGTAGTCTCTACAGAGGGAAGGAGTTTTATCTTGGTCATCGTAATCATCACACTAGTACTGCTGCTGTACACAAAACTAACATGCTTTGTGGCACTTTCTTTTTGATTGGAAGCTCCTTCTCATACTCACTTTGGTTTATTGCACAAGTACGCTCCCATTCTTGAGCTGCATCTAAATATCTGTGGGTTGCTTTTGTGAATTTATTTTATAAGTGAAGCTCATCCTTTTTTCTTTTTTAAGATCTGGACTTTGTTTGAATAACTTTTTAATAATATTTTTTTTAACATTATACATTATTAGCATAATATCGAATAAGATTTATACTGTATAAGATAACATTATTTTAAATTTTGTGATATACAGTATAATTATAGAATAAAAAAAAACATTTTTACAAAAATACCTTTTACTTAGAAATGTACTATACTTATCTAAATTTATAACATGAACAATTAATTTATAAAATAGTTCTAATTTAATTAATTAAATAATAATAAATAATAAGCCTTTAGATATAAATTATGTGTTTTTAATTATTTTATTAGCTACAAACTACAAATTATAAGCTTTTAGTTAATTTTATCCAACAAAAGCTATATATTCATTTTTTTTAAAAGAAAAATCATGTGATGATTATCCTCCTCAAATGGGTATTATCGATTTAAACAGGTCAAGTTGCTTAAAGTATTTCCATTGAGGTGTTGGGGAATAATGATGACATGCATTTTTGCTGCAATCCAAGGAGCAATAATCGGCGTCTGCATAGATACCAGTAAAGCTGCTTGGAGAATAGAGTGGAATCTACAACTAGCCACAATAGTCTACTCGGTATGATCATTGCTTACCTTCAGTGAAGCGAACACATATTGCACAAAACATTTGAATGCTAAGATCTTTCTTGTTATTTAATATATATTTTTATAATAATTTATATGTCTTTTAACAAATAATGCACAAAACATTTGTTTCATGTATCTTTCTTATAAAAATATAGAATAATCTATATTTATATGAAAAATTGACTGCATCTATTTTGAAATACTGATTTTTATTTGATTTTTTTGTTTATCCTAAATTTAACAGCACAGGAAAATGCAAAGAAAATTTCATCAATGGGAACTACGACTTACGAAATAATTTCAAATAGATCAAAATTCAGATTGCTTTAATTTGACAAATTGACGTTGATTAACAAGTGGGATTTATTTGTGTAGGGAGCACTGGCCACAGCTGCTGCATTTTGCTTAGTATCCTGGGCAATTGCACTCAAAGGACCTACTTATCCCCCAATGTTCAATCCCTTGACTCTTGTTTTTGTGGCCTTTGCAGAAGCTATCTTTCTTGGTGAACCATTAAGCGTCGGAACGTATGTATATTTTCCCCCCTCTACATTATTCCAATTTCTAATGTTCCTTAACATTCTAACCGTATCTAGCAATGTAGGGTTTGACCCTGCAACTATTATCATTTCAAAGAACACCATCCAATTAACTACAGCAGATTGACTTTTCTCAACAGTTTCTTTAATAATCTAGCTTTGGTATTTCCTTAAGATATATAATAGTAGAAAAATTACTAAGATATATAGATATATGCAGGTTGCTGGGTGTGGTTTTGATCATGCTGGGATTGTACTCCTTTTTGTGGGGCAAAAGTAATGAGACAGTGCTCATGGCTCAACCTACACCAAATATAGCAGCATCGGAAGTGGCAAGCATGACTAATTTGCCTGCTGGAGTGCAATCAACAGCCACAGTGGCTCCTAGTTCTTCACCTGTTAGCAGTGTAGTTCTTGAAATTGAAAGGACTAATCCAAACTGAAAGAAGTATGATAAAATAAAACCCTTTGAAGCTAAGATTGGTAATTTATCAAGATCTTGCCTTGAAAGCTGATAAATAAAGAATCTAGGAAGTGCAAATGCAAGGAGTATGATAGATTGATAGTTAGCTTTGGCCTTCATTATAAAGTGGGCAACATAGACTAACACCTCCATTTTCCAACTTTATGCACTTTAAGATGGGCAGTGAAATTAGGTAAGTAAGATTGTATTTGACCAGACAATTATACATTGGTTGTTTTCTTAGTTGAAAACCTTGTTTAACAAGTTTTTTTTTCTTTTATAAGGCAGCTAAATTAGGTGATTAGTAGCATTTTTTTTACATCATTATAATCTAACTAATGTTTTTTTAAAACGATATTTTTTTGAGCTACCAATTGAAAGCGATTTGTTTCAAGTATTCCTTTCTGTATCCGTAAAATTTTAAAACTTTTTTACCTTTACTTCTTTTTTTGTTTATGTTTAACATTTAAATTACTTTCATCATTAATTTTTTTTAAAAATATAACTAAATTATTACATCTTATTTTTGTAAAATAAAATTGTCACAATAATAATTCATAGTAATTCACAATATATTATTTTATTTAATAAAATTTCAAAACAAGAGTAAAATTAAAATTTTATAATAATTTAAAAATATATAATTCTAAATTTTGAACCAAAAATTAATACTGTTTTTATTTGTTATTGTAATTTTATCAGCTAGTTCAATTATTAAATTTATGAAGCACTTTCAATTCAATAAGCAAATTTTTCAGTTTTCATCCTTCAACTTTCACCCTGTCTTTTTCGTTTGCCCAATGCACTCTAAGTAAATAAATAAATAAATTATAATAAGATTTTTTAACATGAAATTCTTTTTCAACTTTAAAATAAAAATCAATCAAAAATGCTAACAATATATTATTTAATTTATCTTTTTAACATACTTTTAATTATTAGTTAAAATTTATTTAAATTTACAAAAATATAAAAAAAATAAATTAAAAATGAAATTCACATAATTTATAATAAATTTTTTTATATAATTAAATTTACTCATATTCTATGTACAATTATGTGAAATTACTTATGACAAAACTTACATTCAATCTTTTAAGTGTTAGTTTTTAATTAAAATTAATTTTTTTACTTTAATAACAAACATAATAAATATCACTATTAAAGAATAATACTAATTTTATAAATAAATTTTTAACTTTAATTAGAAAAAGGACTAAAAGCATTGAAAGTATTGTTTATAAATTTTATCTTAAAATAAATTTTTAAATAATTTCTCAAACTCACTAAGTGTATAATATCAAAAAAAATTATCAAATTCTCAAACACCATTATTTTGTAACAATTTCCTTTATTAGATTAATGTATAATTATATTATTTAAAGTTAATAAATTATTATCTTAATCATTGCAACATTTTTTAACTTATTTTCATATATTTATTGTGATTCTAATTAAGGAATTTTTTATTAAAATATTAATTTTATTAACAATTTAGGAGTTATCTAGAGATGGAAAAAGTGTTCAAAATTTTATTGTACAGAGAAAGGGAACCACCGAATTGTCTAAGCAAAAACATATACTACAGAGGGAAGATTCATGAATGAAATGGAAAAGGGAAGGTACCATGGCACAGATGAAGCTTTTATGCTTTCTCTGCCCTTTGGTGAGGTTATCATGGTTGAATTTCATTGGTAATGTGGAAAAGAGTAAAGTGTTGACATGCACTAAATCTCATTGGTTTTGCTATATTGGGTTAAATAGATCAAAATGTGATGTATACGCCATTATCCGTAACATGGGGAATTATGACACGTTACACCTCTTAAATCCTTTCTATTATTATGCAGAAGCAATCTATGCCAAAGTTGTGTCCTTCTTTCAGATACGCAACACTAACTTGTATTGCTCACTCATTATGTACACTTTTTCCGTAATACATACTTCTTACTTACAAATAATATTCATTTTTGTATAACACTTGGTGTCAAAATATATATGTAGATGTGGGATTCGTTTACATTTTAAAGAATGTAAAACTATATCCTAATATATTTATGCGTATATAATTAAGTTTGGTTTAATTTACATACTCAAAGAACCAAAAAGGAAAAGAATTCAAACGAACAAGTATGCTTAAAATTGCAAATGAAGTGCTAATTAATTAAATTGACATTGTGTTTGTTGCTTTCATCCATTTGATTAACCAGCTGTTTCACATCTTCAAACTTATTACAAAGCAAGCCAGATAAGAAGTATAACAATGGCAATGATAAGTTCATCATTTTAACTTTGTTATGCTATTTTTCATTATTGTCAAAGCACTTAAAGATTTACCAAAGTAAATTTGTTTGTGTTTTTCTAAAAAGTACCTAAAAATTCATCATAATGTCATCTCTCATCTTGTTAATCTGATTTCTATATGTAAGAAAACTTAATTTAATTTTTAATTTTTCATCATTATAATTTAATTCATGATGGGTTCCATGAATCCTCCTCTTCTGGCCTATATGCAATACATGGAGGTTAGAATTAGAAAGACATGCATGCTCTTGCACTTGTGTGTTAGAATTGAATAAACATGCACGTTCACGTGTGTATGATAAATCATCTTATATTATTTTTAAAATTATATATATTAAATTTAATATAATTTATATATTTATAAATATTATTTAAAATTTAATATTTATTCATATTTTATAATTATATTATTTGATAAAGTAAAATTATGCATATTAAGTATCTATTAGTTTTTTTTTTGTATGAAAGTTTACACACACAAACTCAATTTATCTATGATTAAGAGATGAAATTACAAAATTTGAGGATATTTTTTATATATGGTATTTAAAAATAATAAATGTCAAAATAAGACATTTTTTAAATACTTACAATAATATGAAAACTCAAAAAATTGTTAATGGTAATTTTTTAAAAGAGTATTAAAAAAAATATAAAATATCAAAATTCGTCATGATAATTTTTTAAAAAAATTAAAAATCATTAATGACAATTTTTTAAAATTTTTTTATTGATGTAATTTTTTTTTCTAAAATCTCATATTTTAATAATTTTGTGCCCACGTAAGAAAGGTAAAATTTTATTTTCCTATTTTTGTTATCTTATTAAAAAATAACTTTTTCTATCATGAAAATCCTAGTATTTTTTTTTTATATCATTGAAAAAATAACTTTGACTCCACTTTATGTAATTGGAGACAAACCTCAACTTTGATAATCTCTTTTTAGTCTTTATCACACTTTTTTTAAGGGATTTTTTTTCTAATTAAGATTTTTGTAAAAAAACATTATCAATTTAAGGTTATTGTGAAACATATTCTCCTTAAAAACAATTATTATTTAACATGTGTCACTCAAGGACGTAATATCATTTTGGAAGGAGAATATATTTTTTAAATCATAATTTTAAATTTTTTTAAGAAATAAATTAATTAGAATAACAAAAATTAAATATAATTATAAATTAATTGTCATCAAAATTTATTTATTAAATATTGATTGATTTGAAAGTTAATTGTTGGTAAATAAGAATTATAAAATTTGAAAGGTAAATTAATTATCATAATTTATTAAAATTAGTGTAATTTGAATAATAAATATAATTATAAATAAATTTTCATAAAAAATATTCAATAGGTTATTTTAAAAAATTATTAATAAATAAGAATGGTAAAATTTGAAAGGTAAGTTAATCATCCTAATTTGTTAATATTAAATTAATTTAGATGATAAATACTAAATATAGTTATAAATGAATTGTCATTAAAATTAATTTAAGATGTAATTTTAAAAATTTAATTATTACATAAGGATTAATTTAAAGTTAATGTTTGTAAATTAAAATTATAAAATTTGAAAGGACTTATCAAAATTTCTTAGATAAAAATTAATTGAAATTATATATATATATATATATATATAATATAATTATAAATTAATTGTCATAAATTACTATTAATGTTATTTAATAGATTATTTAAAAAATATTAATTAATAAAAAATTTGAAAATTATAGTTTAAAATAGTACTATTATTCTGTAGAGAGGCAATACTGCAATCTTGATTGACGCGTGTTAAACTAAAATACTATTATTTTCTATGATAGTGATATCTGTTTATTATGTTACATATGTTAATTTAATACAATATTATTTTCATATAAATAATATTTTTTTAAAATTTTAAAAAAATTAATATATTATTTTAAGTGAGAAAATATTTGTATTACATGTTAAAAATAATTTTAAATAAAAAATATGTTTTCAAAAATCTTAAATTAGTAATTAATTGTGATAAAAATTATAATAAAAAAATTACTATTTTTATGATACTTTATAAATTAAAAAATATAAAATATTTTCTTATATATAGAATAATTATTATCATTAATTTTATAATAATAAATAGTAGAATAATTATTTATTTTGAAAAATATAAATAGTTTTTAATTTGAGATATAAAAAAATTATAACTATTTATTTACAGAGAGTATAAAATGTCTTATAAATTTTTAAGTGTAGCAAATATTTTTTTTATTAATTTAAGCATCGAAATGTGTGAGTCCCCTACAAGAGCACTTTCCTTGGCCTTTCGAATTTCGCTAACTAAAATTCCACATTCCCCTAACAAGCCTGCATAGGTTTAAGTAATAATAGTTATTTATTTAATCTGCAAATGTTGTTTATGAACACTTACCAAGGGTTGACTAAATTTTTCTACTTATTAATTTGGAGTTTATTTAATAATAATAACTAAAAATTTAATTGAAGGTTGAAAACAAATTTTTAAGGTAAAGATTTTTAAGCCGGTTTTTTAAATTGGAAGTATTTGATAAAATAATTATTCTTCCATCAAAATTAAAGTTTTACCTTAATAATATGCCTACCTTTCTTTAATGTTAGTATGTTAAACCTTTAATATTAATCTTTATAACATAGATTATTAAAGTAAAAATTTAATTTTAATTTAAGAATAATACTAATAATGCATATAGTACTTTATTTAAGTTTTGTCCTATTTTATTTTATAAATAATAAGAATTTTTAAATATTTTAAATTTTTTATTAGTTTTAAACCCTTATCATTTTAAGAACAAATATTTTACAAAAATAAAAATAGCATAATAATTAAAATAAATAACATAGTTATAAAAACAACATAATTAGGAACAGACAGAGAGGGCAAGGATGGGTCCTAACCCCCTCTCTAAAAATTTATTTTAAAACTTAAATTTAAATTTTGTTTTATAAAAATAATATAACTATAATTTATATTTATTAATTTAATTATATATGTTACTCTTATACATGCTATATTTATTTTATTGAATATTATTATTTAATTTTAATAAATCCCATAATTATTCAACTGTCAATACGAAAAAAAATTATTATATCTATAAATTTAAATTTGATACTATTTATCAAATTAATAGTTGATTCACATATTTTATGCTTAAATTTATTCATCAATTTATTTTTATATAATAAATAGAAAAGGTTGCTAACATGCACTCCCTATTGTTTATAATGAGTATGTTTTACTAAGTTACACCTTGAGATGTATTTTATAAAAAAATAAAGTCATAAGTTACAAACATATTTTCATATTCTTTTAAATGAGTAAATATATTTAGCAAAAAAAAAAAAAGAGTAAATATACATCAGCAATAGTGGCTATATATACCTCTACTTGTTTCTACGAAGAAGTATGCCAGCAAGTATATTTTTAATATATTTTAAAAATTAAATTATAACTTATTATGATACTTCTTCTTAAAATAAGTACATATATATCAACAAGTTTTTTAAATAAAATATTTATTTTTGACAATTGGGGCACATATTTTTGTAAACTATATCTTTCCTTGATTGTTCGTGAATGTTGGTATTTTTTTATATTTGTTTTGTTTTATATTTTTAAATGTTATCTAAATTTAAAAATACATGTATAATAAACAAAAAATTGCAAATATATGATTAAATGTATTTAGTTTAGTATAAACAAGGTTTTGATCTAACAAATTTTGTAACTTTTTCATTTCATAACTATTTTAATTTTTTCCAAATAAGTTCCCTCAAACGTATTTTTTTTGTATGGTCTCTCAATTAGTAATTTGTTATTTTTTCTAGATGAATCTATGTAAAATCTAATTTAACTTGTATAACATGATATGGAGTTGATGATGATAAAAATGAAATATCTAGGTGTAAAAAAAATGTAATATCTATAATTTTATTTTATATATTTTTAAATCTCAATTTAAAAATTTTATTAAAAAAGTACAAAAAATGTGATGTTATTGATAACACATCATTTATATTATGTATTAGTCAAATTATACGAGTTACTTCAGCTGTTATATAAGCAAATAAATTACTAATTTAGAAATCAAATTAAAATATGAAAATCAATTTTGAGGGACTAGATTTAAAAATATATATATAACAATAATCAAATGAAAGAAAATAATGTATTTTTGGGACCAAAATTTTATTTTAATAATTTAGTTTTATTCCTCTCTCGCCATTTTCTCAACCAACTCTAAGTATAACAGTAAAATTACATGTATTTAACCTTTACTGACATATTTTTTAAAGGACAAATTTCAATGCAACATAAGTATTGTTTGGGTTGCATGTTTTTCGATTAGAGTTTTATCTTTAATACTAATGTGTTGATATTTAATATTAATCTTTATTACACAGATTATCAAAATAAAATTTTAATTTAGATTAAAAAATAGTATAATAGTATACTGCATTTAAATTTTTTTAATTTTCTAAATTTTCCCTGTGTGTAATATTACAAAAGATAACTATGGTACTGAGAATAAAAAAGCGCCGGAGAGAGAGGCATAAGAACATCATTGGTTTGGAGAGAGATGGGTGTTATGAAGATAAGAGTGAGAATATTTCTAAACTAAGATAAAGTAAAAAATTTCTTAAAATATAGTAGAGCAGGGAGAGACAAAAATATATAAGTTTACATATTGTTTTAAATATTATATATGTTGGAGAAAATATATTAAAAATTAATGAGATAAATTTAATTATTAATCACTTCTACTTTAATTAAATAAACTTATAAACTAATCAAATAAGTAAATTATAAGTTAGAGGAAATAAATAACATAGTTCTTATTTAATGGGGGGTTCTGCATTTGTGTTATTTCAACATGAATTTTTTTTATTATATTGTTTTGAGCGAGTGAAAACAGCAAGAAGTTATCTAGACAAACAATAGATGGTAACCCATAAGAAAAGTTCAATTTATTAGCTGTGTAGTGTAACTTACTCCTGCTTAATATTCCTTACTTTCGGCCATATTATCCAACAATTGCTCCAGCTGCCATCAACACATTCCATGGTTTCTCATAATTTCCATGGCTTATACAGATTTGGACTTTCTAACAAGAAATTTGTTCAAATAATGGCATTTCCTTATATAGAAGATAGATATCCAATAGAGGATGACACGGTAAAACTTGGAGTATCAAAGATAATGTAAACGCTATTTCTTTATGAAAACCAATTGTATCCTTGGGCCGATAGCCAGAGATTAATTCCTTTTCAAGGAAAAAATCACTAAAATGGATACAAAGTTGTGTATGATAAAACCCTTTTTCATGCACATAGAAAAGGAATGAATAACAGAAATTACAAGAGAACTAAAAAATGATTTCATAACCGAGAACTTGTTAGAGAAATAACATAAACATTATGACACTAATTAGCACATAAATTCAAAATTAGCAGCAGCCAGATGCGATTTTTATATCTTTACCTCAACTATATATTAAATAACAAAAACAGACTTTCCCTAAAATTTAAACAAAAATCTCAGCAAAGCAAACAAAGCTTAACAGACACCAAATTTCAATGTCCCAACCCAACTACAACTAAAATGCACATTATCGCTATTATTAAATATATCATGAATGACATACAGCAAAACATGTAATGGTGACAAAGTTGGAGAAACCAGTGGCAAGCTGACACAGAGAGTTTTCTAACATAATGGTTTTGCTCTAATGTATGGCATCTGTCACCATATTCATTTCTCTTCAGAAGTTCCTAAGCTTTCTATCATTTATTTCTGAACTTGACTTTTAATTCTAACTGGAGTGGTGCGCATCACATAGTTACATAAGCTGCCGAGCCAAAACCGTTTGTTTCTACTATCACTATTGATATTTTTGTCTCTCTTGTGGAAAGAGACAAGGATAGCGAGTTCAGCACTTTATTTTGCTTGTTCCCTTTAGTCTTCCATAGAAATTAAACAAAACAGTGACATTGAGAGAACAAAGGAGGCAAAGAGCATGGGAACTGTGAAGGAATGGTTCACATCATCTCAGGCTCTTTTGAGCATGTTACTGGTGCAAGTGTTTGCAACTGGGATGCAGCTCCTATCAAGGGTCATATTGGTGCAAGGCTCTTTCATTTGTGCACTTATTGCATATCGTCACATTGTTGCTGCTATTTGTGTTGCACCCTTTGCACTCTACTTTGAAAGGTGTGTTTTTCATTCTATTGACTAGTGCCTTTGCTCTTTGTTCAATTGTACCAAGTCTAGTACACATGCGCTTGAACTTTGCTTCTCTTACTGTTCTTCTTCTTTTTTAGTTGTTCATTTTTAAAAATAATTTAAATAATATTATATCTTCTTTCAATATCATTATATTAATCTTTCTTAATATTTTATTAAGAATTTACTAAAATATAAATACATTTAACATCTTAAAAATATAAAAACGTATTCAATACTTGTTTAGTTGGTTTCTTTGGTGGTGTAGAATGAAATAAATTTTTGACACTTGCTTTTGTACAAAATAAATCTTTTATATTGGTTTGCTACTATTGGATTTAGTCGCTTTGCTCTTAGCATATATTTTGTTTCATCATCTCCTTCTCATCATCGCCCCAGCATATATATAGAAATAATTAATTTTTTTTTCAGCTTTTGGAAAATACAGTAAACATACACTTAGGGTAATCATATGTATACTTTAACCAGAACCGCCCTTCCCCAACAGTTCTCTGAATTCGATTTTTTTCATATTTTTGTTTTAATTTTCACCCAACCCTTCTGGATGATGTTCTTCCTTTTTTGGGTCTTGTGCATGATGTTCTCCTGAATGATATCGGTTGTGATTCCAGAGGCCGCACAAAGAAGTTCAGTGGGAAAGTTTGGTTTTGGCTCTTCATTAATGCATTAATGGGGTACGTACGTAATCATTTTTGTTCCTCTTCATTAATCGCTTTTGTGTTTAAATACCCTCTTCAAAATGATCCTCTTAAGACGGGAGATGACGTTTGGCCATTAAAGTACATTGAAACTTGAACGGATCTCCATCATCTTCCTTTTAATTAAGATCGGCTATATAAAAGGGTTATAATTTGATGGGAAAACATTTGAAATTTGGAGTGTCTATATGAAGCAATTAGCATACTTGAAAGCTATGTGTGAAAAATTGCATATGCATTTGGAAGAAGAAAAAGATTCTTTCCTGAAAATAATAATGATTATTGAATGTTACCTGTTAGGTGGACCCACTTACAAACTCTGATCTAATGTACATATGTTTTTCAGAGGAAGTAATTCTTCCGGGAGTATGGTAGACGTTCTGGTCTTTCTGGTCCATCCTTTACTTTCACCTTTTATGGGACAATTATTAGACCTGTGAATGTGCCGTTTATTTTCAAAGTTTATTAGTAATTAGCATTATTTCTAAATAAAGATAACCAAAAATAAAAAACTAAAACTAGTCTTCATCTAATTTAAAGTCCTCTAAGGCAACCCCTTCATTTATTTGATATTTGCCGGTGCATTGGTTTGGCTGTGTTGGGAATAAAGGTTGGTGGCACTTTCAATTTGGAAGTTATTGCACTAAAATGAAAAGAAAAAGAAATTGAGTGACCCTAGTTGTTGGGCATGAAGTGCACAATATAATTATTTGTTTTTTTTACGTAACTCACTTGGATTTGCGTCCAAAATTCTCCCTTCTATGCTTCTGGCAAATCTCTTCCTTTTTGTGTTGATAACAGCCGACAAATTTTACTTACTGTCTTAGATGATTAGGCCAAAATAAAATACAGAATAAATGAGTCAGTTTACGCCTTCTATAGAACCAAATTTGCATTTATCCAACAATAGTTTTTTTTTCCATTTTTTTAGCATATATAATAACATTTATATGTGATAAAATTTTATTATATATTTTAGATACATATTAAAAAATTATTTTTTATTGTATTGTATATGGTATAATAGGTATTTAGAGCCCTCCTCGCCAAAAAAAGAATAAAAAAATATAAGAAATTAACTACAATTTCCACCGCCCCAATTAATGATTACTGTACAAGTTCTTTTTCCGATGAGTTGTGCCACTGTGAACATTTCATAGGAAGATTAATGAATCTCGTAATTTCATGGTCTATTCGTCAGACACCTGTGTTTATCCCTCTCACTTGGATAGAAATTATAAGCAGTGTTTAAAGAAAACATGCATGTGAATTCATTTCCTTTCTCAACAAATCTAAATGGAAATTAAATTACTTCTCCAACCATTGAAGGCTAATAACCTACTCATTAAGGTATTTTTTTTAACATATTTTTAATTATTAATTAAAATTTATTAAAAAATATGTTAATAATATTCCTCACGTAAAAAAGAATTAGTGAGCATAATTTGAGGAGTTAAGTAAATTTTCTTTTATTTTCATAAAAAATACAATTTAATCATTTAGCTTGAATGAAAATGAATTCTATTAATAATTATTCAAAGAAATAAGATATATGTGAGTATTTAATTCTATTTATTGAGAACATTATTGAAAAAAAGTATATTTAATGTTTAAATACATAATTTACTTAAATTTTTATTTAATAAAATTTTAAAATAATTTGTATTATAACTTTAAAGATAAAATCTAATGAGATGAATTTAAAATATATAATTTTAATAAGTTCTATAAACGGGATTAAGCATAAGGACTGAAAGAAATAGTGAATATACACAAGAATTGATGGCTTGTTCGGTTGGTTTTCTAAAAATACAGTATGACTATGGCTCAAGGATTGTTCTATTATGGTCTGCGAGACACTTCAGCTACTTACTCAGTCAACTTTCTCAACTTAATTCCTATATGCACTTTCATTACCTCTATCACATGCAGGTATATCTATATATCTTTCTACAAAGACCAATTTATATATATATAAATGTGGCCTATTGGTTGCATAACAATTATTTGTTGATGAATTAATTAATGTAGAATGGAGAAACTGGCGCTGCAAACATGGGCTGGTAAAGCTAAGTGTATAGGGGCAATTATGTGTGTTGGGGGAGCATTAGCTACCTGTCTTTACAAAGGGAAGGAATTTTATCTTGGTCATCATAATCATCATACTCATACTGCTGTTACAGCACACAAAACTTACATGCTTAGGGGCACTTTCTTTTTAATTGGCAGCTGCTTCTCATACACAGCTTGGTTCATTGTGCAAGTATGCATCCCTTTCTTTTTTATGTCTACTATACATTGCATCTAAGAGAAAATTTACATGCATGGCAAGATCATATACAAGTTCTTCCTTAGAAAATCAATCTATTACTTTTCTTTTGTACACTTATAGAGTCATGGTCCGAAAAGAAGGATTCGTGCCTTTTATATTTTGCAAGATCACCTGATACTCACTCTAAATATAATACAATTTTTTTGTTACATAAATTTAATACATGTAAGTTTACCATCACAAAATTTTCTGTTGATACTCTTTTCTTTAGTTTTGTGAAAATGCCCTGCATGTGGATCATATCCGTATTAATTAAAGTGCTTTTTCAATTAAAACAGGTCAAGTTGCTTAAAGTATTTCCTTTGAAGTATTGGGGAACAATGCTAGCATGCCTTTTTGCTACAATTCAATCAGCAGTATTTGGGGCATTCATAGATTCTAGTAAAGCTGCTTGGAAATTAGAATTGAATCTACAACTGATCACTATAGTGTACTCGGTAAGATATGATCTGAGCACTTACCTTCAAATTGAAATTACTACATATCCAACGAATTATGACTAATATATATGATGCTTAAATTAAAAATATATATTATAAACATTTGAGTGCTAAGATTTTTCTCATCATTTGCATTTTCTCACTGTAAAGTTTGTGAGATATATCACTCAAATACAAAAGATAAATGTAACGAAGAAGTATATAAATTGAAAAAATAATGCACAAAAAATTTGATTGATTTAGGTTTTCTATTTCTAAAACAGAAAGGTAATTTTCTTTAATTTTGCATTAAATGTTTAATTTTCTTTTAATTCTATAATATTTGTATGATTAGTAATGATTAAAATTAATATGTTAATGCCTCCCAAATTTTATTCTAAAACTGAGTGATTGGTTTATAAATTTTGAAAACTATCTTAATTAGATATTAAACTACAGTTATTTTAACCAGTGGGATTTATTTGTGTAGGGTGCACTGGCTACTGCTGCTACGTTTTGCTTATTATCTTGGGCAATTACACTCAAAGGACCTACTTATCCTCCCATGTTCAATCCCCTTGCTCTTATTTTTGTGGCCATATCAGAAGCTATCATACTTGGAGAACCATTAAGAGTTGGAACGTATGAGTATTTTAATTTCATTCTTGAATTTATTCTTGTACTATTTTTTTAATAAAGTATGTTTGGAAGTTAAATTTTATAAAGAAAAGAAAAAAAAATCATTTTTGAATTTAAAAAGATATAATATTTATAAAATAATTAGAAGATTGACAACTTTAGAGTTTGATTTTAATGCGGTGTTAATATAAAAATTTTATATTATCAATCAATTAAAACACATCATAAATATATTTTTTATATTAATTATTATAAAAATTAATTTTTTATTAATATAACAATGTAAAAAAAAATTATGATAAGAATACATTTAAATTAAAAACTTAATTTTATAGTAATTTATTATTTTTTCTTATTTTAAAAAATAAAATTTAAAAATGTACCTCGCAAGTACATGCTATTAAATTCTTACACGAGGCAACGTGGGGTTCCACCTTGCGGCCTGCTATAAACAGAGAATCACTTGGTCAACTTTCACCTGGAAGAAACACAGCATGCATTTAAGCCAGCAGCAGATTAACTATTTTTATATTTTTAAACCACTATCTTGTTAATCTAGTTTTGTTATTTCCTTGGGATACATGCAGGTTGTTGGGCATGGTTTTGATCATAATGGGATTGTACTCCTTTTTGTGGGGCAAACAGAATGAGATTCAGCATTTGCCTCAACCCAATGTATCAGCTGCAGAGGTATCAACAAACGTGCCTGATGAACCTGTCGTGGCGCAAGCAACGGCCACGGTGGTGCCAAGTTCTTCACCTATGGAAAGTGTGGTTCTTGAAATTGAAAGGACAAACAAAATTTGAAATAAATAAAGAATAAATAAAGTTACTAGGTCTGTGTTTTTGTTCAGAAGTTGTCCTGAATGCTGATAATAAATAAGTTTCTTGAAAAAGTAGACGTGGGTAAACTCTCTCTGCTTTCCTTCTCTGAATAAACAGAGATGAAGTAAGTTTCTAGAAATATGTGATGACCACTGCACTGCTGAAATGATAATTACAGTGCAAAACTTAAACTACTTATTACGTTATAAACTTTAGCTTTGCCTTGTATTGTTATGTGGACAACGTAGATTAAGAAATGCTTCACATATACCGTACCATCACGTGGGATCCTCTTGTTAAGGATGAAATTAGATCAGATGTCAGGTTATTTAATTAAAACATTTTTTAAGTCTAATTAATAAGCTCCTATATTTAAGTAAATATAAAAAATATAATGATAATATATATATATATGTAAGCCTATATTATTATTATTTAAATCTAAAACAGCTTTGTAATTGTTAGAATTATTTCTCCTTAGTTAATTAGATATATTCCCATATACATACATAGGAAAGAAATAATAAATTTATTCAATGTCTTGAAATTATTATCTTGACTATTAAAAACATGCACATTTATATTGAATGTAGTTATTCATCTTTAGAAAGGTAAAGAGGTCATTTAATACCCACTATGTTTCCTTAGTAGAAGGCTCATCCCTTCACTATAAATAGGGAATTTGAAAGAAGCTTGAGCATCAATCCAACTAGAGAATTAAGAATCAAGAGTGAAAAAGTGAATGTTTGTAATCCTCTTTAAGAGAAAAATTGAGTGATTTTATCACACTTGGTGAAATAATTTATATACATCCTAAAAGAGTAAAGTTGAATATTATCTTTTTGTATTAAGAAAATTATTGTAATTTTACTTTTATAATGAAAATTTTATTGGCTAATGTCTGTAGTTTTTACTTCTCACATTTAAGAGATTTTTTACGTTAAAATTTTTATATGATATTCTATTCGTTTTTTACGTTCTCTTAAGTTTATTTTAAGTCATATTGACATAGAAAAGTCTCGCTTTCTCAAAATTGACCTAATTTTTCAACCATAATTATATAATAAATTTTAAAATTAAGACAAATTCAAATTTTAAAAGTTAAGTTTAAAGTTCATACAACCTGAGTGTAACTATTTTTATCTCTATCTCTTATGAGTTTAGAGAAACATAAAAATAGACACTCATAATATTATACGTGGATAATTATCTCATAATCATAGTAAATTGATAAAACATGAAAAATATTAAATAATACTTTGATTATATTTTAAATTGTTTCTTAGCTTTGTTAGTTTTACTAGTTCTTTAATTTTCTTATTTCTTTATTATAGTGCAATTTATTTGTTTATTTAGTTAAGCAACTAGTATATGGATTTATAAAAATGTTGGTCGAGGACCTTACCGTAAGAGTGTCTGCAATTGAGTTTGAATCAGTTTTGAAACAAAAATTATTTTACCTATTATAAATAAAATTTATAATAAAGTTTATATTAACTTGAAAATAATATCAAAATTGAACTAGTTCAAAATATATTTTAATGTTTGAATGTCAATATATTTATTTTTATTAAGGGATACAACTTCAATTTTTTATTAGTAAATAAATAAAATTTTATTAATTAGAGTATATAGAATCTCAATAACATAAACTTTGTTTGTTCCAATGTTTGGAGTAAAAGAAAAGAAAAGAGTTTAAAAAACAAAAGAGGAGAGCAAAAGACAGAAAAATGAAATTGTTTATAAGAACTTGAAAGAATTTAAGAATATGGATTTATAAAAATTTCAAAATTTTTTAAAAAACTTGTCCTCACGATTAAAAGTTTGGAAAAAAATATATATTATTAACTCATGAAGTTATTATTAATAAATATATACATATTTCTAATTTAATGGATTGAAAGAAATGGAATCAATTTGCACGTCATGTTTAATAAAATTGTTATTAGAAATTAATTTTGCTCTTTGAAAAAAAGAGTTGTTTTTTATGGGTGCATTTTTTTTATTTGGAGAGATTTTTAAAAAAAAGGAAACAGACACAGGTAAATTCAATTTAAATGAAGAGGATAAAAAATACAAATGTTTGACAAATAGACTATGAAATTATGACCTTCATTAATTTTATTATATTAAGAAATTTTCTAATTTCCCAGCATGTGCATTAATCAATGACGGGTGGGAGATAATGAAATTATTTCTTCTATTTTCTTTCTTTTTTTCTTTGGGCGAAGGGCTCCAAATAATATTACCAGCCACTTAATAAAAGAGCATAAATGCAAATTTGGTTGAATACCCTTACAGCAAAAAAACACAAGTAATTTTATTTAGTTAGAAGTTTTTTTTAAAAAATTAATATTTATATAATTTTATAAAAGATCTTATATTAAAAATTATTAAAATTCTTTAAATAAATCTTATAAAAAGAAACTAAAAAGGGTAAAAATAAATGTTAGGTTTTTAGTACATGCCCTAATGCGCTAACGAGATGCCAAAACCAAACCTTACAATTGAACTTTATCTGCTCTCTGCAACCACAACCCAAATAATTAAAGAGAACATGCACTCAGAGCAAAGCATGTATGGAACATTGCAACTAATCAAATCATTAGAATGAGATATAGATTTAAATTATAGTCCTACATAATCCTTTTTCTTTAAATCTCTGCGACCACGTTACATCGGCAATTATCATCACATCCCCATTAGCCACATTTGTTGTGAGTTTTCTGCAACACAAATGGCAGAAACAATATGACGATATGCAAGGAGTGCAAATACGAAGGTGCCATCTCTGTTTATTTTTATTTTATAATCACATTCAATTCAAATGATAATCATCTATTAAACAAAAAACATTATTCAATTTATAATCCACAATCACGCGGTGCTTACAGAGATACCCACAAGTGCTCCATGCTAGTGTGGTTGTGGATCTTGCACCAGTGATCAAGTATCTTAAGGGGATGGATATCAAGCCTGATGATATTCCTCGTGTTCTTTAGAGTTACCCTGAAGTGTTAGGATTCAAACTTGAGGGAACCATGAGCACATCAGTTGCCTACTTGGTTGGAATGGGTGTAGGAAGAAGAGAAATTGGAGGTGTCTTAACTAGATACCCAGAGATTTTGGGGATGCGAGTTGGTAGAATCATCAAGCCTTTTGTTGAATATCTGGAAAGCTTGGGAATTCCAAGGTTAGCCATTGCTAGACTGATAGAGCAACGACCTTATATTATTGGATTTAGGCTGGATGAGAAGGTTAAGTCAAATGTCAAATCCCTTGAAGAGTTTAATGTTAGGCGAACATCACTTCCATCTATAATCGCTCAGTATCCTGACATCATTGGAACTGGCTTAAAGCCAAAACTTGTCAATCAGAGAAGTTTACTCAATTCTGTACTTGATTTGGATCCAGAGGATTTTGGCAGAGTTGTTGAGAAGATGCCACAGGTAGTTAACCTCAGCAGTGAACCCATGCTGAAGCATGTTGATTTTCTTAAGGGCTGTGGATTTTCCTTGCAGCAAATGAGGCAGATGATTGTTGGATGCCCTCAATTGCTTTAAACATTGACATCATGAAGCTTAGCTTTGATTACTTCCAAATGGAGATGAAAAGGCCTTTGGAAGACTTGGTTACTTTCCCAGCATTTTTCACTTATGGTCTGGGGTCAACTATAAAACCTAGGCATAAGCTGGTTGCCAAGAAAGGATTGAAGTGTTCTCTATCATGGATGCTTAATTGTTCTAATGAGAAAGTTGAACAACGAATGGACTATGATACTATTGACATGGAAGAGATGGAAATGGAACCATCCTTTGACATGAATTCACTGATTCGACCAAGGAATGATGAATCAGATTCTGATTATGAAGATAGTGATGAGGATAATGAGTAGAATGATTATATTGCTTTGATAACTAGTCCTCGTGGGAGAATTTTTATCTTCTCTTGATGACCTATAGCTGGTAGTTTCTATGCCGTGTCATTGGAAAGGTAAATTATTATGTGAATACAAGTGAAACATTTTCAAGTGTTTGTATCCAAATTTGACACCTGTTTATGTGAAATGATATTGAGTTTACTATTCTATTGTTTTAAGAATTCACCTCCTACGGGATTCTATTCACTCTTATACGAGTAGAGCTACTGATCTCATCAACCATAATATTGTAGCACAAAAATTCTATGGATTTTTGAATTGCTTAACTCAATGAATAAGCTTTGACAATACGAGAGTTTTTATGTTCATTTTAGCAATCACTTTTTTGGATTATAATAATAATCATCATTATTGTCGTCGTCATTATTATTATTAAAATAGCTTTTCAGCTAAAAGTTATGTATAATTTTGATTATAAAATTTTTCAGATGTAAAATTAGTCGAACCAAACTCGAAGAGTCATTCCATTTACTTGCTCTTTCTCCTCTTACACTGTTCACCTTCATTTATATATATTTTATCCTCGTTGTAGTTTTTTCATGTTTGTATTTTGAAAAACATTTATAGAAAGAGGGTTATTTTCATGATTTTTGCATGTAATAATGTTACTGAGCTTAAAATGAACGAAATCTCAGTATGTTACCCATCTGTCCAAGTATGTTAACTTGGAAAGGAAGAATGAGAAATTGCATAAGCCAAGTTCATTGTTTATGGTCATGCACGAGTATGTTTTGTTGACTTTAGGTAGGTAAGCTCATGATGTAGTCATCAAACTTTCCCACTCTGCTATTACATTTGATATTTTTATGTTTTCTAATTTTATTTTATTTTACAAATGTTATCATGTAGTGAACATGATTGTGTCATTTTTTTTTTGCCAATCATCACACTTTCCTACTATCTGGTAGCTTAGTTCCTTCTTTTCATTTTATGCTTGAATTGTAATATGCATCACATTTCTATTCTTATTCTGGCCTTCAGCTAGCGCTGATATAATAAGGACCATGGTGACATGTTTTGCTCCTGGAGACCAGCTTAGACA